ATTATACTTGTACGTCTGTTTGTAACGCCAAGGTACAATAACTCTCATGAAGACGATCCAAGAGGAACTATGGTGTTGCTTTTCTTACATTTGCCTACATGGGCTTATAACGCCCCGCACATTGGCGCGAGTGCTACGTTTGTATGTATGTTGAACTTCTTTCGCACCGTACGTAGCCAACCGCACTAATCAAAGGTGCGGGGGGATGGACAACAAACTAAACACAAAAAGCAGTTCTAAAGAAATCAATTTTCAATCTAGATTTGAAAGTGCGTATAGTTCCAGTCGCTTCCTAATATCGGAAGGGAGAGCATTCCAGACGGCCGCAGAAGCACGTCTCAACGCGCGCGATGCGGTGACCATCTTTGTTATTATTGCAAAAGAAACACTTCCGAGGAGAACAAACGCACGTTTGACATCGTCACAGAATCAATTCTCACGCATGGTTTTTCTTCCTCGATTGTACAGTCGTTGGTTTTGGCACCCATATATTGGGCCCTCTCCTCTCCTCCGGGAGCACAGAGGGTTCTGGCCCGCACCGTTTGTGCCAGTCAAGCAAGCGGCGCCTATGCGAGCGTGTTGCTTGTAAGAAGAGTTATCACGAGGATGCACGTGGCAACAGCCCAAGCGACAATATAATAGTGGGTGTCTCAATGTCACTCCGGGGACCCCTATCCCCTTACACTGCCAACGGTTGTCGCTTGATACCTTAATGTTGTGTCACGGTGTTTGGTACTCGGGTTGCATGGACTTGTAGAGTGGTGGTGAACATTATTAGGATTCATTCCAGACCTGTGTCTGTTGTATTCCTGGGTCAGATGATAGTCCCAATCCTGAGTTGGGTAGTTATTATGTTGTGTTTGTATAAGTTGTTCCTTGCTGACATGAGTTTAGTAAACACGCTGGTGCGAAGTTCTCGGTTCAGTTATGCATTAAACGGGGGCTTTTCGTTAACGTTTTCAGGATACCACTTTCAGTAGAGATGTTTTTTTCTATGTTGGAGTCTCGTCTGTAGTCACAGTTGGTGCAATGTGGAGAAAATGTCAAGGATAGTGAACACGAGCTTATGTGGATGCCAACATGCTCTACATAAAATGATTTTATGTAAAAAAATACAATTTCATTTTTTTCTCAGCGCAATTTCAAATATGCATTTCTCAACGCTTCTTTGCGCACTTTTCAGCTTTTGCTTATTTTTTCATCAACAATGGTAGAAGTTTCCAACACATGGCAGTTGATATGCACCGATTGAAAACGATCTTTTAATGTTTTGACATTTTTTTCAATGCAGTGATATATTACATTTTCGATATATGCTCTATATAACAAAGATACGTAACATAATGTGATAGACTTGTATTAACATATTTATACTGAATATGCATAATGGTAAATTATTATTCAATCTTAGAGACTTTCAAATGCTGTCCCCAATTTTGAAATATGAGAAAAACACATCTTACACCTTAATTTAATAATTTACCAGAACGGATTTTTAAATGCTAATGGTACTGAATATTTTACATGCAGGGAATTGGTTGAAATTAGATAACACACATTGCAACCGCACTTATTTGGTTTGCCAGACTAGAATTGCTGGGCGGTAGCACAAGGAACGAGAGTTAATAGTGTCATCTTTGGGGGGGAAATGCTGCAAAAATGTTAGCAGGCTATGGGCAGGTGGAACAGAAAGATACGGTGACAAATGCCCCCACACTCCCCATAACCTTCCTTATATGGATGTATCAGTGAGTATGAATCTGCCAATGTGTGATGCCCTACAAAGGATATGTTAGCCTTTGTCCATCCATTGTACAAAGCGAGTGAAGGGAGCGTTGAGGTCTTACTGATGAATCCCTTTGATGTCGACAAATTTTCTCGTGCCACGGCGCGTGATGAATACCCACCGGCAGCACTCGGAACGATGCCATGGTAAGCCTCGGAGAGTGGCTGTTTTGCAGCCTTGATCTCATGAGCTGGTCTAAGTGCATCGCGGTGTGTAATGTACTTCGCTGCTGCAAACCCATTTCGCGCTTGGTGTTTACGGGTTTTTGTGTGTATCTTCAAGTCAGCTGCTGGTGTTTTTACTACCCGGTAGCTCACAAGTTGGAGCATGCAGGTCATGTGGCCTGCAAACAAACACACGCATTGCTGCTATCACCGTTTATATTGTATTGCAGCCTAGCTGACATTACAATTTACAGTTCATTGTCAATCCAATGGGCTGAATGGCAACAGGCAATACGATAAAGCGCCGAGAGCCTTGGTACGGTCCTCCCCGTGCCATGCCGGTAATGGGAGTGATATGACCAATGATCAGTGCATTGTGAAGGATGGAATGTTTCGATTTAAAGCTTTCGTGACTGCAGGGATTCATCTTCTTGGTTCTTTCGGTAAAGTCACGTAGAAGGGAAGTAATAAAATGTTATATTATTATATTATTTTATTATGTTTTATTTTTATTATTTTATTACTTCCCTTCTACGTGACTTTACCGAAAGAACCAAGAAGAAGGATGGAATGGTTCAGATCTCACTCGCCACCAGTGGTAGCCATGGCTGAGAACCGAACATCGGCTGCTGGGTTCATTGCATAGCGTACAAACCACGTGTGCCACTCGCAACACGGACACGGTCTTATCAAGCCCTTACATTATTTTTTAAAATGTATTCGTATTTGCTACAAATGTATTCGTATTTGTACTTGTGCATCACTGCTAACACAGTTTCACCAAATCATGTGTTGAGCCTTTGCTGACAGCCCCTTAGCGGCAGTGTTGGTGGATAGAGCAATGCATGGCATTCGTGACACCCACCTGCAGAGATGTGTGGCTATCGCCTCTGGGTCGGTGCTTCAGAAAGGGTGCGCCCTGGTATTTTCGGAATGACGGGAGCGAAAATGACCTCACCATTATGCACGTTGGGACAGACGCGGATTCTCCGTGCCGTTCAGTGGCCGATCCCCCCCCTCCCACCTCCTCCTCTTCATTGGTTGTGGTGCGCAGTGCGTCGACCCCCACAACTCCCCTCGGTCACGCATGTGCAGGTGGGGGAAATCAGTGTGCCGCCAAGATCCGAGCAAGGTCAAAGAGTAACGCTGTTGGAATGGAGGGGAGATCACAATCACAAAAGTACGGTAACGGGGACGGTGGAACGAGTACTCGCGTCGTCAATCCGAAACTATCGGTATGCCCCCCGGTGCTCTTCGATGGCTTTAAGTTGCCACGCTGGACATCCCGATCTACAACCATAAGGAAGTAAATATCTTGAATGTGTTCAATAAGGGCCATTGCCCAAAGCAGTAACCCACTCTATTTGGTTTTATGGTCAGCGTTTGTGAAGCGTGTGTTTTGTTTTCGTATCGTTTTCTGATCGTATAGCAAGTAGGTGATGGACAAGTATCTGGATTATAGATTTGAAGCTTTCGTGACTGCAGGGATTCATACTCTTAGGTTTTTTCAGTAAAGTCACGTAGGTAAAATAATAATAATAAAATCATAATAAATCACGACGTTTCGGAGGCAACACAAGTCTTCGTCTTCAGGTGGGACCGTCACAGCTAAATTTACTGTATCAGTAATACACTTGATTATTTTTTTACCTACGTGACTTTACCGAAAAAACCTAAGAGTAAGTTTCTGGATATTTGCGTGTTAGTTCCCCTTGCACGTGTATTTTGTCTGGGTTTTTTTTATCCCTCGTGCATTCAAATCTTGAATGAGAAATTGGCCAGACATCCTACAAAGGGTTATCGTAAAAAGCATCGATACTGATTAATCCCTGGAAGAACAATCGACTCGTGTTTCGTTTATAACACTTTCAACAAATTGCACATATAACGCAAATCTAGTTTTAGCGCAGTTCACAATACCAATTTTACCAGCAGAAATGCACATAAGCATACATTACGCATGAAGTATTATTTATTCACTTTCATAAAGTGCTACTTTTGTTATGTTCATGTTATATGCTTGTTACAATCTCGACTTTGCTAGTGATGTTCTTAGGAGGACTATGAATACATTATGTATCCTTGGAGGTTTTGTTTTACCGAAAACGACCTTGAATTTTTATTGAGATATATAACCAAGGGCAATGTCTGTTTACATTCGAGTTCACAAATACAATGAAAATACCACAGATGCATCATAATAGCTTTGATAGTTTCCCGCGTTGTTTTTACTTCAATGAGAGCCCGTACTGCGCTTAATGAGATTCAGGACATTGACATGACGGCAAAGTAACTAAGATAAAGCAAGTACACACTTGATAATATCCAATAACAACAGGTGATGCAACTAAGCTGCCAACATGGTCCGATTTCTGCAGTGCGGTACTCATTCCTTGTGCCACTGTGGCCTATTGTGTGATTCCACCTACACATCCGTTACTCGTTTAACACATTCCTGCGGAGGGAGCTGGTAAGAACGTTGGGTTGCTCGGTCAATGGCCAAGGTCAACGGCGGCGTGGTGTATTCCGCAAATATGCCCGACTGTGAGGGCGAGCACAAGCCGGCGTGAGTAGGTTAAACGTTGAGTTTTCTAAGGGCACCACGGGGTGACCAGCCTCTCCCCACCCAGCCCCACCCCCCACCCAGCCCCACCCTCCCCACCCAGCCCCTCCCCACCCTCCCCACCCAGCCCCTCCCCACCCTCCCCACCCAGCCCCTCCCTACCCTCTCCACCCAGCCCCTCCCCACCCAGCCCCTCCCCACCCTCCCCTCCCAGCCTCACCCTCCCCTCCCAGCCCCACCCTCCCCACCCAGCCCCTCCCTCCCCACCCAGCCCCTCCCTCCACGACGGACGGACGGACACAATAATCCCCTGTGTGCTGGTGTAACCAGAGGTTCCTACCAGTAACATTACATACCATATTCTCTGGTTTATAAGACGCACTCGTCCCGACACGATTTTAAAGCAAAAGTTGGGAGCGCGTATTACCATCCAGAAGGTGTGTGTGTGTGACCAGATTTGTATAACTTCGTGCACACAAGACGCAAGTTTTTGGGGCGCCTTTTACTTTCAGGAGCGTGTTAGAATCTTGAGACGATGGTAACAGCCGTGTCAAATACAGGAGAGCTAAATACACAACACCTTACACGTTTACAGGCACATTTATTTGCACGTGATCCATGGTCCAGAGCAGGTATTGGTCTCACCAAAGATAGCTAAAATTTTGTCACGTCGATTTATTTACACGGCTAAATAATAGTGACTTATTTGATAGCCAGCTCATTTTATAATGTTTCACACAATTCACTATTACCGGCCACATACGGAATTTGAAACGACTTAAGTAATGGCACATCAGGTGGTTACCGACAAGTCGAGAAGTCTCGTGGACTAATGGGAGCAAGATGGTTTGTGATTTTTTTTTCTCTCTACATTGTTGCCCGAAACTCTTTTATTTTGCCCCAGAATGTTGAATTCTACTTGGCGTTGCGTATCGTTTAGGGCGCCCCAAGAACACGCTTCCACTGTGGAATGTGCGTGCGCATTCCCTCTTGTGAAACCCGTGATTGGAATTGGATCGCCATCCAGAGAAAATGAAGTCACGCACCTACAACGGGACTCGCTTCCTTTCTTTTCCCAGTTACGTGCAGCATCGCTTTAAACATCAGCGCCGAACGCCGCACAAACCCTCGAATTTTTGAACCTTTGGACCGTCTCGGCTTGATGGCACAACTTGATTGTGCCACGTGGCAAGGAGCCACCTCTCTGCAAATGTGTAATCTTGAAAGTTTCACAAAGATTGATTTCAGTTCCTTTATCATACAATAACAATGCACTTGTTTTACCGCCGTTTACACAGGGTCGTGGTAGTCGCTATAAAACGAGTCGTGTTTATGGTAAAAAAAATATATAACAAGCACAAAAGCGCTCGTTGTGACTACATATAGAAAGTAGCATTCACATCATCATTAAACCGCTTCGGAGCATTTTAAAACACGGCCATAGAAATGTCAACCCTCGGCATTGAACGTGATGTGTCTGTATCGGTGCACACCAAATGGACGATAGCAAATGAGCACTTGTGTTGATGACGTGACAGCGAGGCAACTGGTACACCCAACGGAATTGTTTTTGTAAAAAAAAAGGCGGCTTTTATCCGGTTACTTTATTGACATGATCAGGTGTTAAATCGGGCACATTTTAATCGTCGCACCCTCGTTACCAGGTGGTTTATATTGTTTCGTGTACGATGGAGGAAAGGATGAGCAGTTTGCCAGATGTGCACGCGTATATGCAGCCGTCTAATTTTAAAGGCAGTCTTACTAAACCATTTACAGCTTGGCGACTGTAAATTATACAATTATCATGACAATACTTTGCGATTACATGTATCATAAAAGGCGGTTTAAGAATAACGGTATTCATTGAATAACCGTCGCTTTAGGGCATGCTTAAGTACATGTGGAATATCATACTTCATGAAAAGCACATAAATTACACTTTTATGCCGTTTTAGTCCCTTGTTTGAACTGTGTCTTCGTGAATGGCTATCATTTACCTTGGTATCACTTGGAAAACGGCTGCATTAAAAGCCTGACTTCTGACATTTCACTGAAATGCACACACAAGGCAATTTCAAACACCTGCTAACATTGGGCAAATATGACTCTGGCTTTTGTAGGATTTTAGGACCTGGAGATTAATTAAAAGCCCAAAGAGACTTCCGCTTTTGAGGAGAGAAAAACCTCAGCGGCTCGTGAAGCAACGCTTTAGGGGGTTGTAACTGTAACGTGTGATATATTTTAATTGGTGTAATTTGTTTGTATTAATATACCGTTCTTGCTTTTCAAATACTGTACCCTAAAAAAATACCAGCCCTCTATTATAGCTTCAATGTATCAACTTGTTGTTTTTTTTTTCGAATATATTGAAGAGATATTGTTTAACCTTAATATTAATAAAAGCTGTACATTTGAAATATGAACATATTTTTTATTTAAAATCTAGGTACTGTACTATAACAAAAAATAAAAAAATTTTACTGAAATCTTTAAATGTATTTCTTGTATTTGCTCCATAAAAAAGGAAGCCATCTTGCAAATATTCAATTAATTTTCTTGTAAAATGTAAATGTGTACACACATCGTATAAAACACTTGACACCCCATTCCCTACATTTACTACATACGTACTAAATACCTTTTTTAATCTTCATATAGTAAGGCACGCATACTGAACATTTATATTAATACACTCATAATTATCGTCGTTGTGATATGTCTCAGGGTTTTCTCTCATTCTCTTTAAACAAGCGTTTTAATCGTTAAATACTCTTACACGGGAAACAATTGAACACTGCATTCACTTGCTTAAATTCAACTAATCAACAAATGGGGATGATACAATTCCATTAACATTACAGGCCATGCTTTCAACACCGTCCGCAAAAAGTGAAGAAATAAAATAAATTCACGAATGACCACCACCTCGTTGCGTGTTCACGGACACGTGCGTACAACCTACTGGTTGTAAATATTCACTTGTGCATCTGTTGGGACTCGCGCGTCCGTGTTTGCCGTGTGAAACTCCACTGCCTGTATCTGAACGATAGCCACGTTCGTGGCGTGGACTGCTCTCTGTACGTCGCCGGGGTTGCTGGGAGCATGGGGGGCATGTGTCCCCTGCCAGGCGCGGAAGTCACAGAAGCAGCTGCCACCGTACAGCAATGTCACCACGAAGGCAAAGAACTGTCAGGGTTAAAAATAAGCCGGTGGGCAAGATGGAACGGGGGGGGATCAGGATGAGGTTTGGGAATAGTATATGGAGTGATGCAGTGGGGAGTCAGCAGGCAGGGTGGGGGAGGGGGTGGGAGGGGGTGATATTTGCAGAAAGCAGTGGCAAGCACTTTTGGCACAATAATTACTTCCAGCATACATATTATCATCACAGCTGAGGTCTAATGAAGGCTGAAGGATATTCCGACGCTCACTGTAATGTCAAAAGTACAAACGTGCCCTCGATCGCATGTTGATAATGTTGTACAGTTTAGTGTGGTGTATATTTTAACGATGACGGAGTGTACATGCACGTACGTGGCATTCAATGGCACGCACAGTTGAATTATTTTTGTATAGCAGAGCCGCAGTGAAAATGAGTATGAGATAAGTGGTTTTCAAATTGAACATCTCGATCACATGATTACAAACCAATGGCATCACTTAAGTAACTGGCATTATGAAAATGGGTGTACTATACGTGTGATATTCTCTAATATCTTTCTGTTTTCTTACATACGTGTTTAAACATTGATCTCTCACGATGAATTCAACGCAAGGCTGCTTTCACAATTTCAAGAGAGTGATTTGTTTTCAAAAGCACATGAACAATTTGATTGAATCTGTACAACACATGCAAAAGCCATCTTAACGTTACGGGATTCACAATTTTCGTGGCAAAAATTGGGTCACTAAAAAAGTTTAAAGCCTCTTGAAATAGATGTCAGGATTTTTTTATTTTCTGTAAACACTGACAGAACTGGCTGGTCAGCTAATCGATAACTCAATCTTACACGCAAAACTGCTACATAGTGAGTTCCAATCACGCGCCACTCTGTAAATAAATTTCACCCAGTGTGCAAGAAAGGTCAATTGATCTCGGAAGAATGCAGCAATTATTTTTTTAAAGGAGGTTGCTATTATAACATTTCCAAACCAGTTCGATCAAATAAAAAGATTGAAAAATTGACAAATCAGCAAACCAGTCATGCTGCACTAAAAAGTTTTCTTCGTGTTCTGTGTAGATTTTTTTTTTTGTTGTTATATAAAAAAACATGTCAGGGTGGCAGTGTTGTAGGTAAAGCTGTTAGTACCACATTGGCAGTGGCAGCTTTCTAAGGTCTAGGCGCTGGTACGCCACGCTCGGTAACTGAAGCCAGTGTTGGCACCGTAACAGCACGTGACCACAAAGGCAAAAACCTGCAGGGCAAAGGCAGAGGTGGAAATAAAATCATAATAAATCACCAAGATTCACATTCTGCCGATCAGCACATCAGTTTTAGTGCAGTGCTTGTCATTTAAGCATCACCGAAAGGCCTATAAAGGAATGTTCTATTGATGTATTTACATTTCAATTAACAGACTAGGTAAGTGTGCAAAATTGCATACTTCTCAATTAGAGGTGGTTAAGGATGATGTTTGATACTCGTGGGGTAGGTAATGGAGGCGGTTTAAAAAGAATTCTGGAACGCACCTGCGTTTTAACAATTTAATTTTCATAACAAATAATGCCTCCGTGTGTTTCACTGTCACGGTGAATATCACACAGTAATGAATGCATTTGTAATTGGTATCAGTCGTTTTAAATTGAATGATGATATTGGTTTTAAGTTAAAATTGCAAACATTTTATTTCTGTACCACTAATTTCACTCATACCTAAATGAAAAGCAATGCACAACATACTTAACCTCAACAGGCCCTTTGCTCAACTGTATAGTAGCAAAACATATTCACATAGAAGTTTGACTTTAAGCAACAGGGATAGAATAATGAAAAATGTTTAAAATTCATGAAATCGATTTTAAAAAGTCGTGCCAATTTATTTCAGTTGTGCTATAGGAGTGTGCCCCATATATTTCAAGACTGGCTACAGAATAGAATCGCCACAGGACTTCTAAAACATCATTCAATTGCCCTTTGTACCAATTATACAGTAGGGGGTGAATGTTATCACGTGCTCCACAATGAGATTGTTGCATGGCAGTCAAACCGATTCATTCACAGAGCTGGAATTTGGACACGTCAAATAATGTGTTTTGTGTGTACGGCAATCAGTGACTTATACTCTTAGTTTTTTCGGTAAAGTCACGTAGGTAAAAAAATGAAATTAAAATTTATAAGAATAAAATAATAATAAAATAAAAATCACGACGTTTCGGAGGCAACACAAGTCTCCGTCATCAGGTGGGACTGTCACAACCAGATTTGCTGTACGGCAATCAGTGACTTATACAGCAAATCTGGTTGTGACGGTCCCACCTGATGACGGAGACTTGTGTTGCCTCCGAAACGTCGTTATTTTATTTTTTTATTATTATTTCATTTTATTAATTTTTATTTTCATTTTTTTACCTACGTGACTTTACCGAAAAACTAAGAGTATGAATCATTGCAGTCACGAAAGCTTCAAATCTAGAATCAGTGACTTGACTGAAACCAGAACCTCGCAACACATAGGAATTGGGTTTAATCACGAGTGGCTGAAATCCATGTTCGAACTCAACATCTCCGTAGCGCCTCTCCACCCCCCCACCTCTATGTCAACAATTTTAGACTTGACACACAGCTGAGCAAAGCGCCTGACGATATATTATTGAATTACCTCACACATTTCATATTGCACATTGATATTATCAAATTCAACATCTTACACACTATAATTAAATCATAATAGTAACATTATATATTTAAAAAAATAAAGCATTCAATTCAGCAGGTTTAGTTTAAGATCAGTATTGTCCATGCAGTAGAGACTACGTTGAGAATACAATTTAACTACTTTTGAGTTGAAAGGAATATATACAATGGCTTGTGCTCCTAATTAAAAAACGATGTTTATATAATTAAAATATCAATCATTGAGTAACACAATCATTCCATTATGCAGGTGCAAGCATCAAACATTGACATGCAAGCAGAGTCAAAGTGGCCATCTGTTAGAAATATCAGGGTATTCAATATAAAAGAATACATTTCCTTCATTCAGTTTTTTATTTTATTTAGCATAGCTATATCGAGAGCAGGTTGGCAAAACCATACCACTACGAAAAGTACTCACTCAACCCTACTCCTTACCCCCACCATCTGCCACGTGTGTGGGTACAATGTCACGGGCATTCAATTCGCGCCACCGTTGCGCTTTGCTAATTTTATTTGCCGGCTGCCGTGTACTGTGGCACAACAGCGGCAAAGAGAGAGAGAGAGAGATCCCACTCTGCAAGCTAAAGGACCTCATTTCCACTCCAGTACTTCTCCAGGACCTGAGGGCTCCCGTGTGCCTTTGCGTGAGTAACGGCGCTGTTCACGTATGCCGTTTCCCAGAATTTCAAACAGCGCTGTGTGCGCTCATTTCACAGCCAGGTCAAACTTGGCAGCGACTCTAGTCGTGCCCAAAGGTTAAGTGACATCATTGTAAGTTTCTGTCTCGGAGACTGGGGGGTCGGGGGCGGGGGGGGGGGTCACAAATCCACATTTCTGCAATTGGTAATGAAGGTGTCACAGCGATTAGGCCACCCTCTCCACTCTGCATGGGCCACGGATGAGCATTGAACTCGCCTCCTGTGCAGCTTGAGAGAGGCATAATGAAAACCATTGCTCTGCACTAAGAATGACGTTTATGGCTCACGGGTGACTTCAGCCAAAATGAGACTCCTAATTAGGAAGCCTCACTTCAGCAGATCCCTCAGAAATTATTAGATTGGCGAGCGCTGGCTCGTGGATTATGATCGGTGGTCTCAATTGCGTTTAAATCGAAACGGCTGGCTCTTATCTTGAAACATAGCGAGTTGGCACCCGAATGCGGCCACCTACTCTCTCAAATGCTACAATAAAAGTCCCTGGATTTATTTCAACCCAATACATTTCAAGTTCCTTAATCCCCTGATATTTCTTGGACAGCGAGAAAGGATTTGAAGCAGAAAAGCAATGTTTTTTCGCACACAGAATGGTAAATATATATATTGGCACAGTACCATTCCAACGGCAGATATTGCTCGCAATGAAAAGCAAAGTGGAGATCTTTGTTTATATTCATGCGATACCCTCAGTGTCGGTGTGGTGCAGCAACATTGCATTAACCCTGGACAAGAATCCAACTCAGACGTGCTTATGTTATGGTGCAGTGTGCTTCAGTCTACCTCCTCCCGTGTCCATCTCTTTACAAACGCACACAAACCTGACGAACCTGTGTTTGTTCGACGGCATTTTTTAAGTGAAAATATGCAAACGCAACAAAGCATACTTTATTGGTACCATGAAGTGTGAATATTTGGGCATTACTTTCATACAAGTTGTCTTATGTTTGTGTTTTCATTGGCCACAAGTGAACGTGCAATACTAGGTCTAATTTGCAAACTGCTATGTTTACAGATCAAATCATTGGGTCTGTTTGGAGCCTTGTCGTATTTTTCGTATTAACTTCTTGCACATCCTCCCAATTAGGAAACAAATGCACTTTATCAGGGTCTTGCCCTGCTAAAACACTCACATTTTACAATGTGATACAAAAAAATCATAATAACAAAAATAAAACTGTTGCTGGTGGATATGTGGACAACATACCGTGGATGCCACCAGGTGTGATCGCTCATATCCTTCGTATATGTTGCTGCTTGCGGCGTCAGCGATGGCAGCGGTAAGATAAATGACTGCAGCAGCAAGGTTATAGCCAAAACCCTGCAGTAAGCCCCACCCAGCCCGCACCCACGACAAGTCCCAGCGGAGAGCGCACACCGGCATGCAGCAAGCACAAGAAGACAGAGAGACAAGGGAGAGTGGTGGGGGGTTATGAGTGCCTAGCAACCGCAGCTCGCGGTGAATAAAGGCAGCACAGTCTCGCAGCCGACCAAACGAGTCAGCTCAGGTTTTCCTGAGCCACCATCATCATCATGAGGTGGAGCCAATACAATGCCGCATTACACTGAGTGGCAGTTGAATGTGAGGGCATTCATTATTTAAACCACTCATCTGGCCACGCCTGAATTGGGGAGAGCCAAGTCTGGAATTTAGTTTAATCTGGGCAGGGCACACATCATTTGCAGAAAAGTAACCAGGCCATCATTTGCCGTTGGGCTGCAATGATCTGACCAGAAGTGTATAATCTTCCAGCAGCCACTGCGATGTTGTCAATGTTTGAAAACAATGCCAGCCTTGACTGCTCCATATACATTTATCAAGTAGTTGGTTTATTTGCCAATCACCGTATGCTATTATATTGTGTGCACACACTTGGAATTGGTATTCAGATAATTGTATAATGCAGTGGAGACCTGTCATTTCGCAGAATGAATTCCACGTGACAGAGTTCCAAAAAAAGAACCTCTTGTGCAACATGCCATTCCTTTTGCCCCTCGGGTCATTTTGCCTGTGTTCTGTAATCATCGCGTGCCACTGTAACACATGCTCTCTGTAACGAGCAGCCTCGGCTTGTCTCGTACACACGTAGGCGTCTTCAGTTCCATTATGCCCTTCCGTTTTCAACGAGTAGGTATTTTATACTTAGGGTTCGGTTTTTTATTTCACCTCTACAGAATTAGAAAAGACTGCAGCGAGTTGTTTAGTACAGTTACAAGTTTTCCTGAGAGAGCAAACTATGGAGGATAATTAGATACCCCTTAAAGCTTAAAACGGTGGGATCCTTTTCCAGTGTATTCCAGAAAGGATAAAGCCTTTTTACATTCAATACTTCAGCGCTTCACTGTCAGATGGTTATTTTGTGGGATTTGTATGCCACTTTGCGTGACTGTGCAATGCATTACCTTAAAACTTTACAATGCACAAGTTCCATGTCATTCACTATTAACCTCCACCACACGGACAATTGAAGCTTGTCTCTTATTTAAACTAAAGTGTTGTGAAGCCAATGTGTGCACACTGTGCAAGCAACCATAATGTAGCAAGCACGTCAATTTCGGTCAACCCCAGATAATAGCTGGTTGCATTACCATCACGGATGCACGAGGTCATGAATGGGCATGTTGCAGGTGAGGATCAGAATTAAACGTGGGCCAATTTCAGCCTAAAAAAAAAACAAAGGGAGTATTTCCACACCTAAGCAATCAAATGATTTACTTGAAATATTCCACAAGTGCATCACTGGGCAGCTACCAATCCAGGTTCCGGCACATTTAATTGCAAGCATTGCGGCTCAACCAACCGTCTCCACCTTAAGTCGAGCAATTCGACTTGCGTTTTGTTTTAGGAAGCACCCACCAACAAGGCATGCGCGAACTTTCCCCAGAGATGACCGTGGATAGCTGCAACTGGCTGCACCTACCGTGGCGGCAATGTGGTGCCCGTACATATCGAGCCCATCGCGGGTCCAGGAGCTGGCTATGGTTGCCTCCACTATGGCAGCCGAGAAATAAAGGACGCTAGCGAACGCGTTGAAGACCAGGCCCTGATTGTACAAACAGCAAGTGGACATTGAGAGCTACGCATTCGACTAAATTGCATCTTTGTTAACGTTATGTACATTTCGCAAACTTTTTTCCCCCCGTCAGATATAATAATAATTTTGCGTTGTTTTACTTTTTCTTGGTTCTTTCGGTAAAGTCACGTAACTTTACCGAAAGAACCAAGAAGATGAATCCCTGCAGTCACGAAAGCTTTAAATCGAAATTGTTTTACTTTATTGTAATTTGACTCGGCGAGTCATGATTTTATCGTTATTACGATTTATATGCTATTTTATATTTCTGTGGGCTGATACAACTTGATCAAGTGCAACCACATGTCATGTTATGTTAAGGGGTTTGTCGCTGGTAATAGCTCCTGCATAGCAGCACGAATAAACCACTTTTCATGTGCTGCAGTGGAGTTTGAGGTTTAAAATATGTCAAGTAAAAATGTATTCATTTTAAAAATAAATGTCAGCCCTTTGCCAGTCTACTGCTCGATGAAAGCCACCCCATGCCATGTCGGTCACGTGGGTTGTTTGACCAATGACCATACTTCACTATGCAGGTCGCCATCTTCATAGCAGAGTGAACCAACAGCTGTGCCACCATTCGACTACGACGAATACTTTACACTCGTGTAATTGTGTGCATCAGCTGAGTTTATTTTGGTTAACAAGCTGAAAACTGAAGAGACCAGGATAGTCTCATTTGCAAAAATGACCTGGGTATCTCATGCTCTGGTTCTTTCGGTAAAGTCACGTAGAAGGGAAATAATAAAATAATAAAAATAAAACATAATAAAATAATTCTCACGACGTTTCAGCCACAACGCAAGCAGCCGTCCTCAAATTTCGATTTCAAGCTTTCGTGACTGCAGGGATTCATCTTCTTGGTTCTTTCGGTAAAGTCACGTAGAAGGGAAGTAATAAAATAATAAAAATAAAAGATAATAAAACGTCGCGAGAATTATTTTATTTTGATTTATTTTTATTATTTTATTACTTCCCTTCTACGTGACTTTACCGAAAGAACCAAGAAGACAGCCGTCCTCAGGTGAAGAACAGGTCTGTCAGCGTCTTTCCGACAAACCTGTTCTTCACCTGAGGACGGCTGCTTGCGTTGTGGCCGAAACGTCGTGAGAATTATTTTATTATGTTTAATTTATATTAATTTATTATTTCCCTTCTACGTGAATTTACCGAAAGAACCAAGAAGATGAATCCCTGCAGTCACGAAAGCTTTAAATCGAAAAAAATCTGCTCTATTCTTGTTGGTTCAGCTCAGGTAGGGATTTTATAACGGAGGTCATGCTCTGCAAATTGAATGGATAGTAGGACATTTGAGAGCCCTGTTGGAACACATTCAATGATTCTGCTAATGTTTTAAATGAGCATGAAATGTTTTTTTAAATAATTTATGGCGATGCTCTTTGCTATCCTCACTTTGTTTTTAAAGTGGTGGCACAGCAGCTGAGATGATAGTAATGAAGTGAAAGTACTTGAGGAATGAACATTTTCTCCCTGCTTAATCCTGTAACATAAAGCTCAACGGAGCCACGAACAGGATTTCATAGCTACACACAACTTATATTTCATTATAGACAAAAATAGGAAATCACGTTGCTACATTTAAATGTTAAAAATGTTGAATTATTTACTAACTTCAATAATAACACGATATAACCAATAATCAAATGACCCTGAGAGTGCTCCGATCTCTTTGGATTTTGGAAGCTATTTAGGGTTGAGACCAGTCAATACTTGTATGGGAGACTCTCTTGGTATGCTAGGTATTGCAGGCTTGGGCTATGAGGTGCATAGGCCATGGCAATACAGCTATGGATGTTAGAATATATGTGTGTTGCTTTGATTGTTATCCCCTTCTATCTTTTCTCTGCATACTCTGGTTTCCTTCCACATGCCAAACACTCATGAAATGAACTGGCCAAACTTTCTAATTTAAAACATGTCCTGAGACTGGGTAATAATGGCCATTATTTTTTATGATTTCAATACTTTACTTATGCAGTCCTTCGAGCTGAAAAAAAAGTTGAATTAAATAAAGTCAGTTTGATCGTTTAGATCTGTACCATGCATTGGTTATCTGGCTAAAATGATCAAACTCATTGCACTCAAGAAACTGGTTTTATTATGAGTGGCTGCCTGGATTGAAACCGTGAATCTCAGCTGTATAGTCCATGGCCCCAAGCAAAAATTGTAACCACCTAAGGTATCAAAACTTCAGTCGTACACATTTATTTACATGGATAATAAGACTCATTTTAAATGTTTGAAATATATTTCACTGTTATTGCCCACATAGAGAAATCGGAACCACAGAGGTGATGCCACGCCAGGTGGTACTGACAAGCGACAAATCCGACCTGGGCTCATGGACTAGTACTGGCTTGGTACTCTTTAAACAGGGCAGTATGGAGCCCCGTGGGTTACTCAACCAAACCTTTTCATGCATTCAATATTTAGAGTGGGGCCCCTGTGCGTCTCGAAATCTTACCACCAGCAACCAGTTGATGTTCTGTGCCCGGGTGTAGAGTGCAAAGAGGTCGACAACGAAGAAGAAGACGGTGAGAAGCCAAAAGAACACGGCCACGAACAGGACCCAGCCAAGTGGAGGCACGGTCGTGTAATTGGTGGCCGCGACCAGAGACCAAACCAGGAGACCAAACACCTGTGCACAGGGGAAGGTAGATGCCACACAGACGACGGTAGCTTTGCTGTCTGCGCGTGGCCTGCATCCTACACTGCGTGCGAGCTCGTTGTCGGTTGATCTTCTAACAGCGATAGTGCTCGATTCACCTATCAGCGGTCAAGTTGGTTTCACTTGAGTTTTACGCAGAAACGGCAATTCCCGATGCGAAGAGTGGAAATCGGGCAACATGCTTTATGCTAAGATGAGATGGCAATCGGGCTAAGTTGATTATCATGATTGTAATGTCTCCTGTCTTTGCAAAAAACATCGCGTTTCAGCTATGTGTTGCATAGGTAAGCGATTTTGTCCCAAAAGAGGAAATTGGCATTTTTGTATGTCTACAATAGCGATTATATGTCTTGTTGAAGGGATTCCAACAGGTTCAGACCCGTGTATGAGAAACAGTATTTCTCAGCCAAAACACATGCTTACAAAAATGTATGTGCATTCATGAGTTTCAATATATGCTTAAGTGTGTGTGTGTAAACCAATTTGCACAGTGCATCTTAATGTAAGAACATCTCATTACAATACAGCCCCATGCTAAAAAGTCAACACATATCACACATTGCCCCTATTACAAAGAAACGCTGCGTCAATATCGTGGACGGTGCGTACAGAAAATCTTTAGTTCATTACAGGTCTCTGATGTTTGACTAAAACGTGTGCATTCCTGTAGAAAATTGAGAATTGTTGTAAAAGGAAATGATTTCAAGATTGTGGCATTGTCATTAGTTTCCGCGTGACATCAGCATATAGCAGCACACTGTACTTTCTACATTTTAACGTTTTATACTCTTAATACACGTAAATGTTAGAAAGTGTAATTTGTTGTTTATTCTGATAATTATTTCGTCAGATCAAAGTGCTTTGCCCACCCTCGCAAGCCACGGGTAGAAGACTATAGTTTGACATCATCACATGTCGGTGTCTGCCATCTGTCCCAAAGCTTCCCACTGGAATGGATTTGCCCCTATAAAAAAGCAATCCAAATCTTAGTCAATTTATGGCCGAGTCTGGATGGAGAACAAACAAAAACAACCTGATTCACGAGTCATTTTATTTGGTAATATACATGAACGTCTTGTGACACCTCAAACTTGCTGCCTTGCTTCCAAATTCAAACCCCTTTGCACACTGCAGACACATGAATGTATTTGCTAATGTGCCCAAACGCATTGAATGTAATACTGCAGGCAGCAGCAGTGACTTAGTGTCTCCCACTCGTAGGTCATGTCGGCTAAAGTCCTTATTGATATTGCGCCAGAAAGTATTTTCAGTTACCAATTACCAGGGCTCCTCTCAGAACCACACTTAGATTACTCACCGTAGCCGCAACCTGTGGATTAAGCTTCAAACCAGTGAGCAATGTTTCACATGTGCACGAGTCATGGGAAAGCCTAAATGAGTCTTAAACTGGGTGGGGTTAAAGGTGTTTGCTCTTTGCATTGCTTTGAGGTTTAGTGTCAAGCCACGATGTCGTAAGTCATGAGCAATTTGTGTCCGTGACCACCCTGGCCTTGTCTTTGGATAATAGCAGTGCACAATGTCGAATAGTTTCATATGTTATATAGATTTTTTTGGGAAAAAATTGTCCTAAAACTGTAATCCTGTACAAAATTAACAACACAACTGTGTATGTACGTACGTTGAACTTCTTTCACACCGTACGTAGCCAGCCGTGCTCATCAAAGGTCCATTGCACAACTATGCATTGCATAGCTCATGTAATGGGCATTAATAATTACTAACTCTTCAATGATTCACCTACCTTTTGATTTCCAAAATTGTCACGATTCTTTTTTTTGTGTCACATTGTGGTCATTGTAGCACCTCTTGGCCGCATGGGTCAATACAAAATAAATGTATAAAGAAAATGGATTCTTACACGCTACATTTTTGATGCATGTGTTGCGTGAGCACAAGAATCCATTTTAATTGATGAATTGATTCTGTGTGTACATACACTGAAAATTAATGCAATATTAGTGTAGCAGCAGTTCCCCCAATGATGAATTGATTGCGTGTGTGAGCAAACGTTACAAGCACAAGTAAGCACAGAATTTTATAACAACAAAAAACATTTTCCCAACTTGACCCCAACGGTGAATGTAATACATGTACAGGTATTATGAAAATATTGACATAGCAATACACGTATAATCGCGTTACTATAAGTGCTGAAATTATGCTTATTGTTTATACCTGAATATATTTCTAACTCCATATTAAAGCTGCGCTTTCTGATCCGATTATAGAAATAATCGATTGCTCTACCGATTACCAATTCAATTATATACGATATTGGATAACACGAAAATAGTTTGGGGAAAAAAAGCCTCACCTCTGTTCCTGCGTGTGCCACTGGACGTAGGTGAAATGTGCTGATTGGTGACATCACTAGCATTATCAGCATCATTACCCTGGGCGTGGTTTGTAGGGGTTTCCTGCCTTCAGGAGGTGATGTCGGTGGGGGGGTGGAGGCGTGTTTAATGGGACCCGAGAAATCTGCCACGAAAAAATTAACCCGTAAAAACCAAGTTTTTCACTATAAATCCTTTATATGCGTGGCGGCTAGAGTCCTCTCGTCCTCTGGCTTGAGATGGCTGCCACCTATGGGTCAGATGATTGTCTGCCACCATTAAGCAATTGGTAATAAAAAAAAAAATTTCCCTAAACAGTGTAAAATGTGGGAAATTTTTTTTCACGAAAATTTATTGTCACGCACAACGAGTCTGTGTGCAAAATGTCAGCTCAATTGGATCACGGGAAGTGGGTTAAAAAACGACTGAAGGATTTGCACGGTCGTAAGTAAGCAAGCAAGCACGCAAATGAACTTAATATAAAGGATTTAAAAAGTAGTTGATTTAGAATATTTAGTTGATTAACCAACTTTTTCGACGAATCATTCCTAGCTCTAGTAAATAATATTGAACAATTCAATAGCTTCTTAGCTCACAGGGCAATTCTAAAGAAACCGTTCAAACTGAACTGCAAGGGAAGCAAGAAGGCACACCTTTTGGACTTTATTTGCTTTCATTTCCTACACTTTGCACTCCGTTCGTTGTTTTGTGTATTGTTGCAATGTTCTGACCCACCCCCTCCTGGACATCTGTGAAAATGAGCTTCATAGCTCATCGGATTTCTCCAGGATAATTAAAGATTCTCATTCTTAGCGACTGTATTGATTTGTATCAGGTACAGCAAACATAATTATTGCATAGTGGTATTTACAAATTCAACTATTTGTACTGCCTCAACTGTGCTGCCGTGCCTCCTCCTAATATTCACTCAGCCACCCTCTAGTGGGGAATACAAGACAATGCAAAAACATTCGTAGGGAGAATATGGTTAGGACACGTGGCACGCCTGGTTTTAATCATTTCAATAACATTTTGAGATGTCTTGCAATGCTCAGAATTCCATGAATGCGACAGCAGGTGTGATTAAACCAAACTAAAAAACACATTTTTATTTTACCAGGTAAGGCACATTGAGCTATACCGTATAACTTTTTTTCAGAAGCGACATGGCCACAAATGATAGTTCAACGAAGTGACTTATCATATAGGAATGTATAGTAGCCAATTACTCTAAACGCACGTTTCTAACTGTGAAGGGAAAAATCAGAGGTCCCGGAGAAAAATGCACACGACCACGGGGAGAACATGTAAACTCCAAATATACAGGTGTCAGGGTCAGGATCGAACCCATAACCTCCTGTATACCAGGCGAGGTAGTCGGCATCCAGCGAAACGTCGTACTCAAATTGTAAATGTTGTAGATGTACTCTCCAACACACCGGTGGGCTGAAGCAGTAACTAATTGGCGTTTTGTTTACTTGACAAATCCCTTACTAATTGGCTGTGTCGGGTGGTGGAGGGTTACGACACATTTATACTTACGCAATCTAACCCAAAAACCTTTATTATGAATAATATTGGTCGCGAAAGCCTCCGTGTTAAACTGCCTGATGCCTGATTGTAGCGTCGTCTATTTTGGCAGTTTTATGGGAATGCTTTTATAGCCTCGGGGCCACCAGCAAACTTGAACCCGACCTGTGAACCATGGTTTCAAATGCATGTGTCAATCGTGACACCGCCACTCCACCAACAACAGTGGTATTTCAATACGTCTTCCTTACACTACGAATAACCTCCGCTATCAAGGTAGCTGACAATGTCTTATGTTTACATCAAGACGAAAGTCAAGGTTGTACATGAAGCGGTAAGCTATTATTAAAGGATAAGCGTTGGACAGAAGTTTGAACTGCGTGGTTGAATTCTTTGCGGTTGTACAAAAGGTATTGTCTGCACAAAAACTGAAAGTCTTAAACGATCTGCAGCAGCACATAAGGCGAGGATGTGAAACAAATAGCGGCCGAGATGTTGGAAGACACGTGGGCCTTTTGTCGCCAGTGGGGACGTCGAGGTTTCGATGGATGAGACTAATGGGCTGAGATGTGTTTGTGTGGTCTTAGTGGCTTCACTCAGGCTGCTGTCTAATTACCGTGAATGTGTCTTTCACGATGAAGAAAAATATATAATAGGCGACGTTTTGGGCAATCATCCTTCTTCACAACGCATAAATAAGTTGTTTTGTATGCAGAGAAATGTGTGGATTTGTTAATAACAGACGATACCTTTATGGACAACCTGTCATTTTTGGCATCTATTTAGACTACGTTTAGCTTTCATTTTTTTTAAATTCCATTCACTTCACAGGACATTGTGACTCACTATGTAAAGTATATATTTAAAGTGTATAAAATGGAATGCCTTTTAGAGTAAATTGTTCGTGTTTAGGCTATTTATACATTTCATGTTTTTTTTTCCTCATACAAAGAGTAGCCAGCGCTGACCGTGTCCTTCAGATAAGTTAGCCTTCTGAGCACAAAGTCCACTGCTGGAAAATAATTGTCTAATCTGGATAGTAGTGAACCCCATCTCATTAGTTCTCAGTTGTTTATGTCTAACCAGAGTCAATAGAAAATACATCTGTTGACTGACCAAGTCTCACGTGCTTTTGAGAAATTAAGTCCCGTGGCATGGAGAGGGAGGGCATGTCGTGCCGTCAATGAGAAACGTCGGGGTATAACTGCGAACAAGTTATTAACTTTTCTCAGTCCCGTGGGTGGCAATATCTTTGAGCAATTGAGTTTCTTCCTCGGTTATTTCATGCGGTCGGAACTACTGAAAGGGAACACGTGACGCTGAACGGGAGCGAGAGAGGCGTTGGTGCCTGATGATTGATCTGAATTTAATATCACTTTGTGCTTCACAAATGTATGCAGACGAATTAACACGGACAAATTGACGGTAATCTCTCCCACGTGTATACGTTCAACAGTGGCAATATTCAGTACTTTAATATTATTCTAAATTACAAGCATTGTTATTGCCAAAGTTGAAAGATTGAACTTAGCAATTAAATTACTCAATTTCAACGAGTGAATTGATTAGCCTCATCCAAAGCCTGCCCTAAATATATAACAACATATTCACATGATAGCTTTTTATCTAATGATTAACAGCCTACTCGCTATACAAATAATGAACGTCGCAAGATGGTACATGTTAGTTTAGTACATGCAATAGGCACATTCAAAACGCGTTTTGGATAAATATTGCAAAGAATAACTTTTCTAAGGCTTCCAAGTAACTTCCATTGGAGCTCGCAACAAGTTTATTTATTTGCATTTACACAGCGATGTGTTCATGTTTTTAATTCACAAATGCGGCAGTTCATTGACGAAACATCATTCACAAGTGATTCACATTGACAGCATGAGTTCCTGTTTTTTTAAATCAGTAATTAAGTACAAACTAATAACTCTGCCAAAGTTCCACATACTTTACCAAAGTGGCAAGCCCGTAGCAATTAAATGGCTCTATATCGTGATCAATAATGAACTTGAAAATCTAAAACTGTCAAGTTGCCAGAGTGCCGAATTACAATTTACAGCAATATTCGGTCATAATTCTCATCATCTCTGTTGCAATTGCATCAGACAAGAAGAGCAGTCGTCTTCTTTCGTAAGAAGTTCACCTGATCAAAAAAAACCCGTATCCGTGACAACACAGAAGTACTTACATTATTGAAATGCAGGTGTATGCAACGGTTGAAGGCAATGTTTTATGAGCATTTATCGTACATGTCGTGTGCAATACTCACTATTTCGAGGATCATAAGTATACCCGGAATGGTTTTCACAAATCCTTTGTCCAAAGCGATTTGTGATGACGATTGTGCTGCCGGGTAGCTGCTGGTCGTGTTCGTTGAAACTTTGTCGGGGAAATCGGCCATGGCTGAAGCTGCTTACACAGCCAACGAAACAAATACTGCAATAACAATCTGAACTTTACAGAACTACTACTGAGGCTACACCTGCAACGCTATCTTATCTGCGTGATTCAAACTGGACACGCGCGTACGACTGCCACAAAATACGTCTAAAAAAAGACCTGTTCGTCAATGAAGCAAGCGAATACGCGTGTTAAGAATCGTCGACGAGCCTAATGTCAGCCGGCGAATGTGACGTAGGGGACGTCCGTCTATGAGCTAAGCTCAGCAGCAGTCGGGCAGGTATGTCTTGCTCGGATGGGGGCTGGAGGAGACACTGAACTTCAAGTCTGAGCACATCCCGTAGAGACACCTAGCCCTCACCTGTGCGAGCCCAACGCCCCCAGTGGGCGTGACCCATCACCTGCCCTGTGACGTCAATCCGCGTGAAGAAATCTGCGGCATCTTCTTGGTTCTTTCGGTTAAGTCACGTAGAATGGAAATAATAAAATAATAATAAAACATAATAAAATAATTCTCACGACGTTTCGGCCACAACGCAAGCAGCCGTGCTCAGGTGGAGAGCAGGTCTGTCGAGGAGACAGAGTCTGAATGACATTCAGACAGACCTGCTCTCCACCTGAGAACGGCTGCTTGCGTTGTGGCCGAAACGACGTGAGAATTATTTTATTATGTTTTATTTTTATTATTTTATTATTTCCATTCTACGTGACTTTACCGAAAGAACCAAGAAGATGAATCCCTGCAGTCACGAAAGCTTTAAATCGAAATAAAATCTGCGGCAGTTCTCGTTCAATCGGCCGTTGCGAATGACCCTGGTGGTCACATGTCATGGTCCCCATGACATAAAGACAAAGGCTCCCCCCCCCGTATAACCTTTAACAGACTGTTGGGGCAAGTGCTGGGAGCGAGCACCACGCCCGGCCTCCTTTGTCTCCCTCGTGGCGATGTTTACATATCGCACCAGGTACAATACTCATTTGAGGCTTAGTCGATCTAGGGGAGGCCCAGGACTGGTTCAGATAATCGTCACCGGCGTTGGCTGTGCGCGGGAATCGAACTCGGGTCACCGGATTCGTCACGCAGCACGTTAACCTCTGCACGACCGCACACACACATGACATGGTCAGTGTGCAACATGCATGGCGTAATCTAGATGTGAAGTTTTCGTGACTGCACGGATCCATACTCTTTGGTTCTTTCGGTAAAGTCACGTAGGTATAAAATAAATTAAATCACGACGAATCGGGCGCAACGCAAGCGTCGTCATCAGGTGGGACAACCACAGCAAGAACAATTGCTGAAGTGGGCAAAAGGGATGCTGTGACAAGAGGCTATATAGGTAAGAGATGATGGAGGAGTCAGGGAGGAGAGATAGAGAGGGTGGGGGTGTGGGGTAGGGAGAGTGGGGAGCTGCAAGACGACAAAATGCCGGGGCTGGGAAGTGAGCGGGCTGGGGGTAGGAGGCTGAAGAAACTGGAGATGCGGATATGAAGGCAAATTATGAAGCATGATAATTGGTTTTTTACCCTTCTATCTGGCAACAAAACTGACACCTTATTTACAAGGAGCCGTGTTTACATAGACCACAATACTTGCAGTCATAATGCAAACAAAAAACATAACTCTGATAATGTGCACTGTCCTTGAAGTTGATTGGTCCACACCCGAGACAGCTTTACTTAGAGCCTAGTCTCACATGGGTTGGACCAGATGATGCATTATGACTGCAGGTAGTGTGGTCTATGTAAACATGACTCCTTGTAAAAAAGGTGTCAGTTTTGTTGCCAGATAGAAGGGTAAAAAAAACAATTATCATATTTTTACTGGCAAATGAGGTTCCAATGGTGAACTTATGAAGCAGTTAAGGTTTACCTGGTTAATAACATCCTTCCAATGATTGCTCAATTTGTATCCATCTTCTCGGTTGAAGTTATGTCTATGTTATATATCTGGATGGCTTCATGAACAAACCTTTGATAGTAGCCTGAAGGTTTGCAGAGCACGTTGGTCTCGGAAAAAACAATATCATGAGAGCCCACAGCATTATAGCAATGGTCAGCCACGGCGGAGGTATTAGTCCTGCCGTGTTTCAGATCTGACTTGTGCTCGCGAACACGGTCCGGACATGTTGTTTCGTTTCCCCTATGTAACAATCACCACAGGTGCAACTCAGTTTGTAGACTCCAGGATATTGCATGTCAGGAATGGCATCCTTCACAGATGGATTAGATTACGGATTTTGTGTACTGTATGGCTGACCATTGCCATGGCTGACCATTGCTATAAATGTGTCGTTAAACCTTCTAGATTTGAAGCTTTCGTGACTGCAAGGATTTATACTCTTAGTTCTTTCGGTAAAGTCACGTAGGTAAAAATGAAATTAAAATTAATAAAATAAAACAATAAAATCACGACGTTTCGGAGGCAACACAAGTCTCCGTCATCAGGTGGGACCGTCACACCAGATCAATCTTGATGCAGCAAATCCGGCTGTGACGGTTCCACCTGATGACGGAGACTTGTGTTGCCTCCGAACGTCGTGATTTTATTGTTTTATTTTTTATTAATTTTAATTTCAATTTTTACCTCGTTAAACCTTCCACCACCTACAGCCATTTCGTAAGTTTTGATCTCATAAACAAAACATGCCAATTTGTTACAAGTTCAGCATACTGGTGTGGTTGATAGTAAACCCACAACATTTACAACAAAAAACCTAGATTGTGGATATTGGTCGCGAAAGCCTACATGTTAAAGTGTATATATTGACAGTGTTCGCCACAGCACGGGAGACATTCATTATTTTTTGCTACTGTTGATAGTGTGTTCGTGATACAGCAGCAGGAACCTCGGTAATCAAAGCACTCGTATATGCACAGTTATATGGTCTTTAACAAACAAAACCAATGAGAAAATAACTCAAAGGTGCCCACTTGAATTTGCATGCGCGAAGAAAAAGGGGCCATCGTCCAGAACGTTGCCTATGTTACAGTTTTCCTTTCCAGGCAGTGTTTTGATAAATGCGATGACTTTCATTGCTTGGAATTACATTGCGAGATGCAAGAGGAGCACAGTGACTCGAAAACATACGCGGGTTGATGCCATTAATACAACTGTCAATCGACTGGACACGTGGCAGCTCATCATCCATGGCACGGAACGCATCTGAGAGTGCATCCACTGTGGAGGTGGAGGGATGAAATAGGTTTGTGTGCAGGTGCTGGGTGAGTTGTTAAATCGCTAGATCGTGAGAGATGGTGGCAGCTTGGGGAGGCCTTCATTCAGCAGTGGATAGAGCATGCTTGACCCCGATAATGATACCCAATAAATGGCAGTGCATTCAGACACGACCACCACAGCCCTGCGGAGCAAATAGTGCCGTTATCAGTGCACGGTCAGGTCAGTTTCAGAGTAGAGGCAGGCACAGACTTGGAGACGCACCACGCGTTTACAGCTGCCCTATAATTTCGAATTTATTTTTGAAGGTGATTCGACCCTGGTTTGTTAAGGCATTGTACTTTGTGAACCTGTTGTGTCGTTTGCAATAACAGCCACAGTGCACTGAACTTTACAATGTGTGTTTTGAGGCAGGCAAATTGTATTGACACACTGTGCTCTACGTTATCTGTGTGTTTTTTTAATAGCCCAAGCAATGACGATCTTCGCAGGACCATATACAGTTCCGGCGGTCCTCGACTTACGAACACGCGACTTACGAACGCTCGCACTTACGAACCAGCTTCAATGAAACATCGACTTAAAACGCGCACCTGCAAGCTGAACAGCGGAACTATTTTGTTCAGCAGAGCGATCCTGAGTCAGCCTCACGCCTGGGGTGAGTGTTTGTGCGTGGTTTTTTAAAAAGTGACTGTGTATATGTATGTATGTGAACGTGACTGTGTGTGTGTGTGTGTTCGACACTTCACGTGGCCTCAATGTGCACACGGCCTGGCATAAGCGTCGTGGTGACGTCACCGCCACTTAGTGGCGAATGGCGGTTGTTGTTGTGTGAAAGTGAGTGTGTGCGCGTGTACTAAAGTGACATCACATTTGTCATTAAAAGTACGATGTCATAAATGGATGTAATCTCCGGCGATGTCATCCTTTTCGATCACGACGAAAAAAATATTTTTTTCCGTATCCGAAACATCGTTACTAGGCCATAGTTTCAGGTTTTTTAGTTGTATCTGAACATTGGGAGGACATCCCTGGTTTCTACATCCAACCTGCAGGAAACATGCAATGCTTGACGGTTTCCACATCCAACCTGCAGCAAACATGCAATGCTTGACCACTGTTCTTGTATAAATGCTGCTTCTGGCAAGAGCAGGCTTTGCCTTTCAGCAGAATCAAATAATGACGCTACGTGCTCAGCCCTCTTTACATTGGCAAAGCGATGTTGTTACTTATAATCCATCTTGAGTCATTTGTAGGTAATCTTTTAGCATTGGGATGTTTGGCCAATTCCAGTTATATTTTTGGGGATTTTTTTTAGCTAAGGAAGTGAACCAGAGGCCCAAAAAATACATGCAGAACAAGGAAAGAACTTACAAATGCCACAGAAAGGCACCCTAGCCTGGAATCGAACTCAGGTGGTTGTTCTTGCTGTGAGGCACACGTGTTCCACCACTACGCCACTCTGCCACCCAATAGCTTGGAGGAGGGGATAGTGGATTACACAGAGTTCATGTGCACTTCAGAGATGTCAGTAAGAGACAGTACAGCAAGTAGGATCCGCACTCATGTTTATGGAGTTTCCGTTTAATACCCCCTGGCGTGCATAGGATTACTCTAGGTATTTTTTTTTCACGCAAAAAATACTGTCCTAAATAAGTCTCATGTTTCAGCAAGGCTTGGCCAGGCATAATAATCATTAGTTATTCTACCGCATATATTTACGTGGTTGTGCTACACAGCTCTCCAATATCTCCCAATGGAGTTTTAGGTTGTTGCGATATACGAAGCTCGTACATTGACATGCTAATCTCTCAATACAACAGCCACTTCCACAGCCTCAAGGAGACCATCTCTAGCCCCGCACTCTTACCCTGATTCTGCACCCATCTCAGGCCTATATAAGACCTTGTTTCAGTAGCTTTCTCTCTCTCACCTGTGTTGCGATCGATACGTCGTGATCTATTAATTTACTATCTACGTGACTTTACCGAAATATCCCAAGAGGATGGATTCAATGCAGTCACGAAAGCTTCAAATCAAGATTGAACCGCCTCTACGGGGAGGGTTTTCACAGAACTGTTAGATATTTTAACAGACTGCGAGACAAGAAGGCTCACTTGATCGAGTCTCTCACCTTTATTAAGATATGCCGCGACACCAATGTAATACCG